TTTAGTATAGCAGGTGTGTTTCTCTTACATGCAACAGATGGCGCTGGTTTTCAAGAAAAGCATAGTTTTACCTGTCACAAGTGTGGCATCTATACTTATTCTTACGAAATGAACGGTATGGTAAACAACACAGCTCAATTCCAACACAATGGCACACAAAATAATTCAATAAAACATAAAATAAATCGAAATCTATGAAAATAAAATTTATCAGTGCAATCGGAAACATTGAAATTAAATTCGCGATATTTAGTAAAGTGTGCATGTTGCTTTTATGTGCAACAGATGGCGCTGTTTTTCAAAAAAACGTTATTACCTGTTACAGGGGAGGCATCTATATAGTAGGCATATAAAATGACACGACTAATCGAATGTAACGTTGTGTCAAAATTTCAAAGATATCAGTGAAGAACTTTCGGAGATTACAGCGAGGGTTGCCCTTACGTCCAACAGATGGCGCTGTTTTTCAAAAAAACATTTTTTTGTCCTGTCACAGGTGAGGCATGTATATAGTAGATATATAAAAGACGCGCCTACTCGAATGCAACGTTCTGTCAAAATTTCAAAGCAATCGGTAAAGAGGTTTCGAAGATTTCCCTCATATGAAAAACACATCATAAACACAGTTTTTCAGAAAAAGCATGTTTTTTTTTTTTACCGTCACAGACGTGACAACAGTATAGTATGTGTATAAAAACCTGGCCGGATGCGAATTGAACATTGTGTTAAAATTTCAAAGCCATCGGTGAAGAACTATATATATATATATATGTCGTACCTAGTAGCCAGAACTCACTTTTTGGCCTACTATTCAAGGCCCGATTTGCCTAATAAGCCAAGTTTTCCTGAATTAATATATTTTTTCTAATTTTTTTCTTATGAAATGATAAAGCTACCCATTTCATTATGCATGAGGTCAATTTTTTTTATTGGAGTTAAAATTAACGTAGATATGTGACCGAACCTAACCAACCCTACCTAACCTAACCTAACCTATCTTTATAGGTTAGGTTAGGTTAGGTTGCCGAAAAAGTTAGGTTACGTTGGGTTAGGTAGGTTAGGTAATCGAAAAACAATTAATTCATGAAAACTTGGCTTATTGAGCAAATCGGGCCTTGCATAGTAGGCTGAGAAGTGAGTTCTGGCTACTAGGTACGACATATATATATATATATATATATATATATATATATATATATATATATATATATATATATATATATATATATATATATATATATATATATATGTGCGAACAAGCCTGAATGGTCCCCAGGACAATATGCAACTGAAAACTCACACCCCAGAAGTTTATATATATATATATATATATATATATATATATATATATATATATATATATATATATATATATATATATATATATATGTCGTACCTAGTAGCCAGAACGCACTTCTCACCCTACTATGCAAGGCCCGATTTGCCTAATAAGCCAAGTTTTCATGAATTAATTGCTTTTCGAATACCTAACCTACCTAACCTAACCTAACATAACTTTTTCGGCTACCTAACCTAACTTAACCTATAAAGATAGGTTAGGTTAGGTTAGGTAGGGTTTGTTAGGTTGGGTCATATATCTACGTTAATTTTAACTCCAATAAAAAAAATTGACCTAATACATAATGAAATGGGTAGCTTTATCATTCCATAAGAAAAAAATTAGAGAAAATATATTAATTCAGTAAAACTTGGCTTATTAGGCAAATCGGGCCTCGCATAGTAGGCTGAGAAGTGAGTTCTGGCTACTAGGTACGACATATATATATATATATATATATATATATATATATATATATATATATATATATATATATATATATATATATATATATAAATGGAAATGTTCGTTTGTTCAAAATCGCTAATCTCCGAAAGTTCTTCACCGATTGCTTTGCAATTTTTACACAACGTTCCATTCGAATACGCGCGCGTTTTTATGTACCTACTATATAGATGCCACACCTGTGACACGTAAAATCATGCTTCTTTTGAAAAATTGTGCCATTTGTTGCATATAAGAGCAACAGACGCTATACTAAATATGTTACGATTTTCAATGTTTCTGATTTCATTGATAAATTAATTTTTCATAGATTTTGAATTATTTTCATTTTGATTTAATTATTTTTATGTGACATAGCATTGGAATTGAGCTGAGTTGTATACCATACCGTTCATTTCATGAGTATAGTTTTTTTTTTCATTTATTTTTTTAACTGTTTTTCTTACATTTCAGTGATGGGAACATCAGATTTTTTGATGTTCCCAATTTTCAGATGGGAACATCAGATCATTTGGGAATGCATAGAACGTGGGAGTGGTGAATGGTGAGGAGGACGAGGGGACAGGAGAGGGGGTAATGGTGGCGAGAATGAGGGGACGAGGGAGTTGGAGGACGGTGGGAACGAGGGACAGGGGAATGGAGAATGGTGGGGAGGACAAGAGGACAGGGGAGTAGGGGATGGTGGGGGAGGACGAGGGGGATGGAGGTGGGGAGGGAATGGTAGATAGGAAGAGGGGACAGGGGAGTGGGAGATGGTGGGGTGGACGAGGGGACGGTAGAGTGGGGAACGGTTAGGAGGATGAGGGAACGGTGGAATGGGGAATTAATTGTAGGGAGGACAAAGGAACGGGGGATGGGGGAATGGTGGGGAGGACGACGGGATGGGGAAAGGGGGAATGGTGGGGAGGACGAGGGGATGGGGAAGGGGGGAATGGTGGGGAGGACGAGGGGATGGGGAAGGGGGGGATGGTGGGGGAGGACGAGGGGATGGGGAAGGGGGGGGGGGATGGTGGGGGAGAACTGGGTGACAGGGTAAGGTTGCTGTGGCTCAGCAACGCACATGCGTTGTAGGCGCCACTTTCCCCCAGGTACATATATGTCTGCAGAAGGCGCAGATTACTTTGATGATATTCTTACCTCTTACCTTGATATTCTTACCTCTTATCTTGCTGATATTCTTACCTCTTATCTTGCTGATATTCTTACCTCTTACCTTGATATTCTTACCTCTTATCTTGCTGATATTCTTACCTCTTACCTTGATATTCTTACCTCTTATCTTGCTGATATTCTTACCTCTTACCTTGATATTCTTACCTCTTATCTTGCTGATATTCTTACCTCTTACCTTGATATTCTTACCTCTTATCTTGCTGATATTCTTACCTCTTACCTTGATATTCTTACCTCTTATCTTGCTGATATTCTTACCTCTTACCTTGATGATATTCTTACCTCTTATCTTGCTGATATTCTTACCTCTTACCTTGATGATATTCTTACCTCTTACCTTGATGATATTCTTACCTCTTACCTTGATATTCTTACCTCTTACCTTGATGATATTCTTACCTCTTACCTTGATATTCTTACCTCTTATCTTGCTGACATTCTTACCTCTTACCTTGATATTCTTACCTCTTATCTTGCTGACATTCTTACCTCTTACCTTGATATTCTTACCTCTTACCTTGATGATATTCTTACCTCTTACCTTGATATTCTCACCTCTTACCTTGATATTCTTACCTCTTACCTTGATGATATTCTTACCTCTTACCTTGATTATATTCTTACCTCTTACCTTGATGATATTCTTGCCTCTTACCTTGATGATATTCTTACCTCTTACCTTGATGATATTCTTGCCTCTTACCTTGATGATATTCTTACCTCTTACCTTGATGATATTCTTGCCTCTTACCTTGATGATATTCTTACCTCCTACCTTGATGATATTCTTGCCTCTTACCTTGATGATATTCTTACCTCTTACCTTGATGATATTCTTACCTCTTACCTTGATGATATTCTTGCCTCTTACCTTGATGATATTCATACCTCTTACCATGATGATATTCTTGCCTCTTACCTTGATGATATTCTTACCTCTTACCATGATGATATTCTTGCCTCTTACCTTGATGATATTCTTACCTTGATGATATTCTTACCTCTTACCTTGCTCATATTCTTACCTCTTACCTTGATGATATTCTTACCTTGATGATATTCTTACCTCTTACCTTGCTCATATTCTTACCTCTTACCTTGATGATATTCTTACCTCTTACCTTGATGATATTCTTACCTCTTACCTTGATGATATTCTTACCTCTTACCTTGATGATATTCTTACCTCTTACCTTAATATTACTGTAGACAACACTAACACCATTCCCTAAACATGAGTCACCACTCTCCTCTCACAACTCATCATTTACTCACTATTCACTTCTCAGTTATTCAGTTTTTAACTCATAACATCTTACAAGCATCCCGCCAAACACACACCGAAACTACGACGTTGGTACAACGTTCGAACAAGTTTTAACACCTCCTAACCAGTTATAACAACCAATATAGTAAGTTGTAACAACGTTCTAATACGTCATAAACACGTTAAGCCAAGATATAACAACTTTATTACAAGTTGTAAAAAGCGGAAAATAGAGACAGTTTCGGTTTGTGTTTCCAGGGATCGCAAGTGTTCTTAATATGTATAATGTTATAAATACTCCAACCCTTCCATAAGTGCATAATGCATGCAGGTGCTTGAGGTAATCCCAGGATTAATATACTGGGAGTAATGAACATTACTCCCAGGATTAATATACTGGGAGCAATGAACATTACTCCCAGGATTAATATACTGGGAGTAATGAACATTACTCCCAGGATTAATATACTGGGAGCAATGAGCATTACTCACAGGATTAATATACTGGGAGCAATGAACATTACTCCCAGGATTAATATACTGGGAGCAATGAACATTACTCCCAGGATTAATATACTGGGAGCAATGAACATTACTCCCAGGATTAATATACTGGGAGCAATGAACATTACTCCAGCAGCTTATGAACACTTATATATAATTGTGCTTTAATACACACTTGAGAAGCTCATTTGGGGGAATATTTTGTTTCTTCAGAATATTGGTGGTGACCGGAGGAGTATACGGCCCTCATACCTGAGCCCTCACTACCAGAGATGGTGAGGCGACCCTTGTGAGGCCTTGGCTGGTTGTGAGGCGACCCTTGTGAGGCCTTGGCTGGTTGTGAGGCGACCCTTGTGAGGCCTTGGCTGGTTGTGAGGCGACCCTTGTGAGGCCTTGGGTGGTTGTGAGGCGACCCTTGTGAGGCCTTGGGTGGTTGTGAGGCGACCCTTGTGAGGCCTTGGGTGGTTGTGAGGCGACCCTTGTGAGGCCTTGGGTGGTTGTGAGGCGACCCTTGTGAGGCCTTGTGTGGTTGTGAGGCGACCCTTGTGAGGCCTTGGGTGGTTGTGAGGCGACCCTTGTGAGGCCTTGGCTGGTTGTGAGGCGACCCTTGTGGGGCCTTCGCTGGTTGTGAGGCCACCCTTGTGAGGCCTTGGCTGGTTGTGAGGCCACCCTTGTGAGGCCTTGGGTGGTTGTGAGGAGATGGTGATGATACCCTTGTGAGGTAGAGAGTTGGTTGTGAGGAGATGGTGAGGCGACCCTTGTGAGGCCTTGGCTGGTTGTGAGGCGACCCTTGTGAGGCCTTGGCTGGTTGTGAGGCGACCCTTGTGAGGCCTTGGGTGGTTGTGAGGCGACCCTTGTGAGGCCTTGGCTGGTTGTGAGGCGACCCTTGTGAGGCCTTGGCTGGTTGTGAGGCGACCCTTGTGAGGCCTTGTGTGGTTGTGAGGCGACCCTTGTGAGGCCTTGGGTGGTTGTGAGGCGACCCTTGTGAGGCCTTGTGTGGTTGTGAGGCGACCCTTGTGAGGCCTTGGGTGGTTGTGAGGCGACCCTTGTGAGGCCTTGGCTGGTTGTGAGGCGACCCTTGTGGGGCCTTGGCTGGTTGTGAGGCCACCCTTGTGAGGCCTTGGCTGGTTGTGAGGCCACCCTTGTGAGGCCTTGGGTGGTTGTGAGGAGATGGTGATGATACCCTTGTGAGGTAGAGAGTTGGTTGTGAGGAGATGGTGAGGCGACCCTTGTGAGGCCTTGGCTGGTTGTGAGGCGACCCTTGTGAGGCCTTGGCTGGTTGTGAGGCGACCCTTGCGAGGCCTTGGGTGGTTGTGAAGCGACCCTTGTGAGGCCTTGGCTGGTTGTGAGGCGACCCTTGTGAGGCCTTGGCTGGTTGTGAGGCGACCCTTGTGGGGCCTTGGGTGGTTGTGAGGCGACCCTTGTGAGGCCTTGGCTGGTTGTGAGGCGACCCTTGTGAGGCCTTGGCTGGTTGTGAGGCGACCCTTGTGAGGCCTTGGCTGGTTGTGAGGCGACCCTTGTGAGGCCCTGTGTGGTTGTGAGGCGACCCTTGTGAGGCCTTGTGTGGTTGTGAGGCGACCCTTGTGAGGCCTTGTGTGGTTGTGAGGCGACCCTTGTGAGGCCTTGGGTGGTTGTGAGGCGACCCTTGTGAGACCTTGTGTGGTTGTGAGGCGACCCTTGTGAGGCCTTGGGTGGTTGTGAGGAGATGGTGAGGCGACCCTTTTGAGGCAGAGAGAGGGTTGTGAGGGAGACAATGAGGAGAAACAGTAAACTTTAACCCCTAGATCATGTCACTTGGTCAACGGTAAATCTGACTCTTATCAGGGCTCTGACATTACACAGTTAAACAATGGGGTAAATGTGAGACATTTAGGATACACATTACAGTTGCATGCACAAGGTAATCCCAGTAACGGGAGGTATCTGTGAGAAGATCAGTAGGAGCCGTGACCAGGGTTCGAGCCTATGTTGTGGGTATTCCCCAGCACACGCCCTAGACCACTGCCCCACGACATGGTACTGGGAACACGGTACTTATGGGTTTGGTGGTGATGGGGGAAGAGCAGGGGATGGTAATAGAGGAAGAGCAGGGGGATGGTGATGGGGAAGAGCAGTGGGATGGTGATGGGGGAAGAGCAGGGGGATGGTGATGGGGGAAGAGCAAGGGGATGGTGATGGGGTAAGAGCAGGGGGATGGTAATGGGGGAAGATCAGGGGATGGTGATGGGGGAAGAGCAGGGGATGGTGATGGGGGAAATGCAGGGGGATGGTGGTGGGGGAAGAGCAGGGGGATGGTGATGGGGGAAGATCAGGGGATGGTGATGGGGAAGAGCAGGGGATGGTGATGGGGGAAATGCAGGGGGATAGTGATGGGGAAGAGCAGGGGGATGGTGATGGGGGAAGAGCAAGGGGATGGTGATGGGGTAAGAGCAGGGGATGGTGATGGGGGAAGATCAGGGGATGGTGATGGGGGAAGAGCAGGGGATGGTGATGGGGAAATGCAGGGGGATAGTGATGGGGAAGAGCAGGGGGATGGTGATGGGGGAAGAGCAAGGGGATGGTGATGGGGTAAGAGCAGGGGGATGGTGATGGGGAAAGATCAGGGGGATGGTGATGGGGGAAGAGCAGGGGATGGTGATGGGGGAAATGCAGGGGGATAGTGATGGGGGAAGAGCAGGGGTGTGGGGATGGGGGAAGAGCAGGGGATGGTGATGGGGAAGAGCAGGGGATGGTGATGGGGAATAGCAGGGGATGGTGATGGGGGGAAGAGCAGGGGATGGTGATGGGGGAAGAGCAGGGGATGGTGATGGGGGAAGAGCAGGGGATGGTGATGGGGGAAGAGTAGGGGATGGTGATGGGGGAAGTGCAGGGGATGGTAATGGGGTAAGAGCAGGGGGATGGTGATGGGGTAAGAGCAGGGGGATGGTGATGGGGAAGAGCAGGGGATGGTGATGGGGGAAGAGTAGGGGATGGTGATGGGGAAGTGCAGGGGATGGTAATGGGGTAAGAGCAGTGGGATGGTGATGAGGTAAGAGCAGGGGGATGGTGATGGGGTAAGAGCAGGGGGATGGTGATGGGGGAAGAGCAGTGGGATGGTGATGGCGTAAGAGCAGGGGGATGGTGATGGGGTAAGAGTAGGGGGATGGTGATGGGAAAGAGCAAAGGGATAGTAATGGGGGAAGAGCAGGGTGATGGTGATGGGGGAAGAGCAGTGTTGTAATCCACAAGTTAGTAGGAATTATTAGCTAGAGGATCATTACTACAACACTTAACGAATGATGATTGAAAGTACAAGTAAGTAGACAGACTATGGATCACATATCTAAGAAAGGTCAATGGATTAAGACCGAAGCTGTTTAGCCAAATTAATAATTCCTGGAAAGAGGAATTATTCTTCGTCAGGCTTCTAGGAACAAGGTTACCGCTCTAGGGATAAGGTTAATCGGATTATACCTTCCTCAAGAGGCGTGGTGAAATGATTGAGGCCATGGTTGGCTGGAGTCAGTCTGGTTGTGGAAGTTGGACTAGCAAGTCCTCCGAGGTCTCCGTTTGTGGCAGCAGCGAAGTGTAGCAGACAGCTATGCGAGAGCCTGTTGTGATCTTAGTGACCAAGTTAAGTCTGCAGTATGTGAGTATTGAATGTAAGACTAACCGGGTGTGGAGCGTTGTAGTAATCATTCCGTATTAGGGACTTAGGCGGAAGTTACGAGTGTGTGTGGTGACCGCGGAGGTCAAGTGGTCTATGGGTATTGGAAGTGTATTGACCTAATAGAGTATGTTAATATGTTATTATTTGTCAGAGTCTATTCTTTGTAATTAAATGACAAAACCCGACGGCCTTTAAATACATTCCATATGTTCACTCATTGTGTTCCAGTACAAACCTATTGGTACGCCTCAAGGGTCTGGTGTGTGTAGGAGTATACGGTGGTAGTAACGGTTGCTGAGGCAAGGTGTTATGTGTTGTGTAATCGCTGTGTTCGGAATGAACCGGGGTTCAGCGTCACGACATATTTGGTGGCAGCGCAAACAGGTTTGGAACACTTTGAGATATGAAGGAAGTGTGTTACCGGTTTAGTTGGTGAGGGAATGTTCGGGAATTGGTAGACGTCGGGTTGTGTTCAGGACGGTGGATATTGGAGAGAGGAAGGGAAGGTGTGTGGCCAAGTGGAGTGGCCACGTTGTGCGGCAGGGAAAGGTCCCCTAAGGGGTGGAAACAGTAGTGTGGATAACTGATAAGTGACGTTGTTAATGGTGGCTTAAAATTATAAGTGATTCTAGTGAGATTAAGGGAATAAGGCCAAGTAAGGTTACTGTACGGTAAAGCGTCAAGCTGGTTCATACACGAGCACATAAGGGGCGAGTAGCCATGACGGGTACGGGTAGTAATAGGGGCGCCAGTGGCCAGGCCACGAGTAATGTCGGTCAGGGTGAGAGTGGGGATAACACGGCGGCGTTGCTTACGGCGCAGGCGGCAGCGTCAGAGACAATTGGGCAGGTTGCACAGTGGTTGAAAAATGTGTTGAGCACGCATGAGACGACTAAGGCAGGACCTAAGGTATATGGAGACATACCCACGTTTTGGGGCGCCAAACGGGATTCGAAAGGTCAGTTACTGACGGATATTAGAACATTTTTCTTTGCTCTAGAGAAGGCGACTAGTGTGGGGTCATGGTCGGATCAGGCAAAGATTGCATTGGCATATTCCAAGGTGAAAGGGGAAGCAAAGACCCTGCTCAACTCGGCGGAAATTAGAGAAATAAATAGTTATAGCGAGTTTAAGCAGGAACTGATAGATCATTACGATGTGCGGCACGATGCAGTAGAACTAAAGGCTCAGTTAGCTGCACTTAAACGAGAACCAGGGGAACAATTAAGGGCGTTTGGCCATAGAATAAGACTCTTGGGGGATGTGATTGAGCGGACGGAAACGCAGTTCACGGGGGTAGTAAGAGATTCTATGCAACGGAGTGTTTTTTTCGGTGCATTACCGCGGGAAAGTGCGTTACACTGCAAGGAAGCTAAGTCTTTTAAGGAAGCGGTGAAACATGCAGTGTTTTGGGCGGAGAATAGCCCGACACATAAACTGACAGAGGATGACATTTTCAAGGAAGTGTCCCCTAAGGAACAGGCAAATCTAGCAGACACGCAAGAGAGACAGGCTCAGCTCTGGGCCCCAGTAGCTCAGCCAGTGGAGGATGGACCCGCGGCGGGGGTCACACATTCCAAGGGCAAGGGGCGAGGTGCTCCCCGACGTAACAATAATAAGGGCTGGGAGCCAAGGGTGTTCCAGGGACACAATACGAGTGGGGTGTCGTGGGGACCCCATCAGGGTACTCGTGGGCAGCGAGGAGGCTATAATCAAGAGGCACGTGGAGGCAGGTTCACTCCTGCTCCACCACGATACACGCCTACTCAGGGAGCAACAGGAATGTACCACCAGAACCAGGGTACCGGTAGAGGGTATCCCCGGGGAACGGGGTACACTGCAGGTAAACACGAGCCAGAACGACCTAAGCAGACCAAAGTGTGTAAGCTGTGTGGTGACGGTAGTCACTTGGCCTGGCAGTGTAAGCTTTTTGTTCCGCCTAATTACCCAGTGTGTACAGTAGGGGGTGGCGGACAGTGGTTGTGTACCGTCGGGTCGGGTCATCCCATAAAGGTGCATTTACGGTTAAAGGGCACTATCTATACAGCCTTGGTGGACACCGGTGCTTCCGTGTCTATCATGAGTCGTAGCGTGTTAGGATCAGACGTCAGGCTGATACCTAACAACAGGAGATTAACGGCGGTGGGGGATAATGCGTTGCGGGTGTTGGGTGAGACAACTGTGGATTTCCAGCTAGAAGATAGATGGTTTAAACATAGTTTTGTAGTAATACAGGATATAGGGCTGAAACATACCAACATTATCTTGGGAATTGATTTCCTCGAAAAATACTCATGTACCATAGCGTTCAGCGCAAGGGGGAATAAATTGGTATGTGGGGGTCAAGCGGTAGACGTTAACAAGGTGAGGAGTAGAGAAGGAGTAGCAGTAGTGAGGGGTAACTGTGGTAACTCGGCTGGGGACCAGAATATACAGTGGGCAGTCACGGTACCCAAGGATGTCACCATTCCGGGAGAAGCATCCTTAGTGATTAAAATGGCATGTAAAGCCAAGGGAGTAGACGTTGTGCAAATTGAGCCATTGGATAATCCAGCAGGGTTGGTGATAATGGAGACTATTGAAGACATAAATGAAGGGGTAATTCGGTTGAGGGTTTTTAATCCCTCTCGGTGGCCAGTCACCTTGAGTAAGCATGCACAGGTAGCGTGGGCGCACTCTGTGGAGGAGATTATTGCAGCCATGTCAGTAAGTCAGAGTGAGGGCGACGAGGATAGAATGGATAAATTAATGGGAATAGTGGATAGGATGTCCATGGAAAGGGAGGTTAAGGAAGCCTTAAGGGGCTTAGTCAGGGAGTTCCCGGATGTTTTTGCGTTGAGAGGGGAACCCCCAGGGTGCATTACTCAAGGAGCACATAGAATTGACGTAGAGGGCGCACATCCAGTATATACGAGAGCATATAGCATACCAGTGGCACACCAGAGGGAGGTGAAAGAGGAGATAAGCCAGCTAAGGGAGCATGATATCATTGAACCATCCAGTTCACCGTGGCACAGCCCTCTCGTAGTAGTCAGGAAAAAGAATGGGGGAGTGAGGTTATGCGTAGATT